CAAATAATAAATATAGAACTTGAAAAATATTAAAACAACAAAAATCTTATGCAAAAAGAGATAATAAATTGCAAAGGGGATACGTCTCAATGCTGCACATGAGTGTTTATGTAGGCCAGGCCTATAAGCCACACACCTGGGAGAGTTGCCATTCAAGTAAGCAGCAGCTTTGTGTAAGCTTTCTCTGCCAGAACAATGTGAAAGCCTCTCCATCATTAAGACACCTACTCTGCCTCCCATGAAAACTTGGTACCTTAAAAAAGTCCAAGGGTAAACTGAACAAGATATTGGAGAGGCAGAACCCTAGAGACTTACCTGTGTGGAGGGGGAGGGAGGGAGAGAGAGAGAGAGAGAGAGAGTGTGTGTGTGTGTGTGTGTGAGTGTGAGTGAGTGTATGTGTGTTCGTGTGTGTGTGTTCGTGTGTGTGTGTGTGTGTGTGTATGTGTGTATGTGTGTGAGTGTGTGTGTGTGTGTGTGTGTGTGTGTGTGTGTGTGTGTGTGTGTGTGTGTGTGTGTGTGTGTGTGTGTGTGTGTGTGTGTGTGTGTGTGTGTGTGTGTGTGTGTGTGTGTGTGTGTGTGTATGTGAGTGAGTGAGTGTGTGTGTGTGAGTGTGTGTGTGAGTGTGTGTGTGTGTTCGTGTGTGTGTGTGTGTTCTATGTGTGTGTTCGTGTGCGTGCGTGTGTGTGTTCGTGTGTGTGTGTGTGTGTGTGTGTGTCGTGTGTGTGTGTGTTCGTGTGTGTGTGTGTGTGTGTGTTCTATGTGTGTGTTCGTGTGCGTGCGTGTGTGTGTTCGTGTGCGTGCGTGTGTGTGTGTGTTCGTGTGTGTGTGTGTGTGTGTGTGTGTGTGTGTGAGTGTGTGTGTGTGTGTGTGTGTGTGTGTGTGTGTGTGTGTGTGTGTTCGTGTGTGTGTGTTCGTGTGTGTGTGTGCGTGTGTTCGTGTGTGTTCGTGTGTGTGTGTGTGTGTGTTGATGTGTGTGTGTGTGTTCGTGTGTGTGTGTGTGTGTGTGTTCTATGTGTGTGTGTGTTCTATGTGTGTGTGTTCGTGTGTGTGTGTGTGTGTGTGTGTGTGTGTTCTATGTGTGTGTGTGTGTTCGTGTGTGTGTGTGTGTGTGTGTTCGTGTGCGTGCGTGCGTGTGTGTGTGTGTGTGTGTGTGTGTGTGTCTGTGTGTGTGTGTGTGTGTGTGTGTGTGTGTGTGTGTGTGTGTTCGTGTGTGTGTGTGTTCGTGTGTGTGTGTGTGTGTGTTCGTGTGTGTGTGTGTGTTCGTGTGTGTGTGTGTTCGTGTGTGTGTGTGTGTTCGTGTGTGTTCGTGTGTGTGTGTGTGGAAAAAGTCAATCAAAAAAGGATACAAATAAACCATTTCATCATAATATTTATTCCTCATTGCCATCTCTGCATAATTGTGTTTGCATATATTAAAGTAATATTTTCAAACTGTTTTCTTCTGCTAAATACATGATAGTCCTGCAGAGCACTTTCTGTGCAAAATCTAAACATTCTTCCTGCAACTAGGAAAAACCCATCACAAGTGTTCCATTGTAACAACTTATTTAATTTTTAATGAGTTAACATTTCAATATTTAAATTTCAGATTCATATTTTGCTTCTATTTAAATTATAGGTTTAGAAAAGAAACTCTGCATTCAAATCCATTATCTAGAAATCATATTGTTTTTTTATTTTTACTACAAAAAACAGTTTACAGTATTCTTTATTAATAATGAATTCTTTCAACTGGGCAAATATATCAATAAGCAGTTCCTCTCTTATAAACTCTTAAGAGACCTGTCTGTATCACACCAATAACATTTGTGTAGTACAGTGCTTCAAAAAGAAACCAAATACCCATTCCATTATCAAGGAATTTTGAAAAAATGCTTAACTAAAGAGAAGGTGAATAATGGAAAACCAATGCATGTTACTTCATGTTTGGGTGAAGTAAAAACATGCTGAGATGCCTGTAATGAGACTCTGAATTTTTTTTATTTGCAATTGATTTTAAAGAAAATACTGAAAACGAGAATGCTTGAGGTCAACCAGTATTTCTGTTAATGTTATCAGACCTTGTATTTACTTGTTTTCTACTAATTGGGCTTACAGTTATGTGTCCCTGTATTATATTTTTGGAATTCCATCAGCAGAAGTTGAACTATATATGGTAAAAGTATCTTGTTAATACTGCATCTCCTGTAACCAAAAGGTAAAAAGCTGAAATTACTTTATCACTGACTTTTGACTGGTAGCTCATATCATTCAAAACTCAAAGAATTATCTTACAAAAAGAAACAAGAAAAAACTTCAGTATCTTATCACATGCACACTGACTCCAGCTGTGAGTGATAAATGAAAAATAAAGAATGATACCTAACTGATTAAATCTTCTAATGACTTAGCATTGGTAACACAAATATCAAGGCCCCACTCAGACATTAATGTCACTGCATCTGTATTTTCGGATTAATCCATCTCGACAAGCCGTGTAGATGTAGTTGGTATCCCGCACTATCTTGTATATTGGGTCACAATCTGAACCAGTTAATTGGAAGGAGCTAGATCCATCCAGGTTGTAAAACTGGCACAGACCATCACGCCTTCCTGCCAACACTCCTCCCTTTAAGGCAGTTACAGTCTCGACTGGTGAGGCACTGTCATGAGACAGAGGCCGTGTTACAAGTGCCTGAGAAAGATTAAGCTTGGTATCACTAAACTGACTTGTGGTTCTATCTTAAAAACAAAAGGAATAGCAATATGAAATATTTAAAAATAAATCCTCTTGAATGTACACACAAGCTCTTTCAGAAGATAATATGCTGTGTTTTAACCCAATGGCACCGGGTGTACAAAAGAAAAAAAAAAACTCTACGCTTAAACAAACAAAGGCGGCGCGCCGACTTTGAGCGCGTGAGTAGGGGACATCAGCCCTAATCACTGGCTCGCCGCCGGCTCGTTCGGCTGCACGCCAGCTTTCGAGCTCTTTGTGTACACGCCGATCGGCGTCACCCGGCACCAAGGGGTTAAAGCATCTAATATAGCCTTTATCCTAAAATGAAGAAAAACATGCACAGACATAAAAATCAACAACCAGCAATATTTTCATGATGAAAACAATATTAGGACATGCTGAGAAACTAAGTAATATAAATTAAAAAAACATAAAAGCAAAGCAATTAACTATACACATAGTATGATAAACACTTATAAAGTCAAGCAGTACCATTTCTGAATATTTTTTACATCCTAAATCTTGTCATTATGAACATGCTACATAATATACCGTGTTGCCTTCTTAGACTTCTGAACTATAAATATTAGATATACCATTGTTTTGATAATATATTCATAACTGCTCAATGTGTATTGCACCTACTACTATTACTATTACTACTTCTACTACTACTATTAAAAAAAAGAGAGAGAGAGAGAAACAAAATAAATAAATGTGATGGTTGGTCAAGTTTTGTACGGTCTGACATCGATGTTGTGTTGATACTATGTGTGGCTTCAATTACATTCTTTGAGATCCAAAAATGTGGAGAAAGGTTGCACATCATGCATCCACATCTGAAATTCACTGAACACTTTTGTAAATAAAGCCAACAGGAATAGATATGAATGTCAAACAATTACTCAAATTGACAAATCAGCAATGCAAACAGTGTAGCAAGCCCATACTTAGGCCAACTATGTGCTTTAATCCCCCTGCTTGCAACAGGTTAAGAGGATATTCAGATTTCACTTAGGAGGGTAGTACTTGATAAATCTTGTATTTTAACACCAATATAGAAGAAAAATAATTTCAACTTTTATCAAAGAATGGCTGTAATAGTGACAATGATTATATGAGTCAACCTAAGAGAGAAATGACATAAACTGAACTCAAGATCTATACTTTTCTTTGTATAGTGGTCTTTTTTCATAAGCAGACATAAAATGGCATATATGCATTGCCATACTATACTAGCTCTTAGCATAACATAAGAGTCATTTAATGGTGCAAAAAGGGATTTACTCAGTACAAAGTATACTGCCATGTCTATTACACACTGCTAATATCAAATATATAAAAATACTCTTAGAGAAAAACAGATTGCCAGTATATCAAACTGATATCACATTATTCAGCAATGTAAGCTTACCTCAGCATCCACAATAACCAGACGCCCATCGCTGAGTCCAGCTACCCCAACTGTAGGTCTTGCCCAGCAGACAGACAGCACAGGCGCCCCTTGAGTAAATGATCCCAAGACAGTCCGACTCTCCACAGCTACCAAGTGAACCATCCCTTCTTCACAGCCAAGCAACAGCAGCTTTCCCGCAGTGCCATGCTCTAACTCGTCTGTTGAGGAAATATTAAAAATAATTCAGCCACTATAGTGACAATATTAAATTGAGTAACAATGCATATCTGTGTGTGTGTGTGTGTGTGTGTGTAAAGGGTTATATAAGGGGACCTCTAAACATTGGTGATAGGGAAGTATTAAAAGCTTAGTGACTTAAATCTCTTTTATTCTATAGAGTTCAGCACACAGTGAATAAACACAAGGGATGACGTCTTGGGTTATGGCTGGTCACTTGGGGTCACCGACCAGCCCACCTCCACGGCAGACCGGCCCAGTGGGCTGTTGTGACCTTGACCGCGCCAGTCACTCTGTTTTGACCGGTCAAAACGCGGCCTTAAGTATCCGAGATGCTGGCTTGGGGGGGGGGGCGAGTAGGACCGCCCATCCATTGGGGCACGCCGCTTGGGTTGACTAGTGTGGGCGCCACGCGGGCATATAATACTGATATAATACACTATATTGCTCGGCCACCTACTCACGCCTCGTCCTCGTGGCGATCTAGACTTCCTCAAGGGTGACCCAACCTGGCTGGTTCCAACTTGCTCGTCCTCGTTCTCGGGTGCGGTATCCTTGGTGCATCTCTGTGACTGCTTGTTCTGTGTCATCATCCTCGCTCTGGTCCCTGGGAATCCGTTCGTCCTCAACATCCTCATATCCTCGACTGGTCCTTGTCCAGACATCCTTGTAGTCCGCGTACAGGTCAAACTCGGCGGCTTATTCGCCCAATGCACGTCTCGCAGATCTCTGTCCAGGTCCTTCTCGGCTGCGCACTCGTACAGATGTCCTCATAATCTTCGATTACGAGAACACTAATACCTGCATTAATGAGCTCCTGGAGTTTGACTGGGTTTGTGGCATCCAGGCAGGCCCGTCCACAGCATCATAGAATGGCGTACCTCTACTGGCGAGCTCCTGCTTCCGCTGGATCTCGGGTGTCCTGGCGAGCGGCGATCTTCCGAAGGAGACCGTTTCTGCAGTAGGGCCTCCTTCGGTGCTGTTTCAGGTATCGGGAACCAGAATAACACATAATGGGCCAGATAGTGAGAGAAGGAAAAACGACAGAGAAGAGGTGTTAAATGCTACAAGCAGATTTTTTTTTCATAATTTGCAGTTTTTAAAGTTGAATTTTCGTTATTTTCGTCTTTATTTTATTTTGTGCTTTATGTTCACAAAGTTAAGTAAAATAGGAGAGGGAGACATTGGTAGCGATCCGCAAGAACCTAGCTTGAACTACCAAAACCGTCTCTGATAGATATGAGAATAACATCAGGGGAACAACAATTTGGCAACCCGCAAGGATTTTACTTGAACCATTTGTCGCACCCAAAGGAAAAGTATAGTGATTGACAGGTGTCAATGAAAGTAAGAGTGACCTCCTATAGCCGTAGTGTTGCCAACACACTGAATAAAGTTCATTTTACCATAATGCGACTAATTATTTCAAGTACCACATTGAATTTAACATTTAATGATATGCGACAAAATGATGCATTAATGAATGGTGACGTGAAAATTATTCGCAAGCCTTTTCGCCAGCAAATCTTCTCAGGAATTTCCCCGAGGAAGTAGGTGTCTTTACCGACCATGCAGACTTCATTTGACGGGGGGATGTGACCCAAAAATTGCCGTATTTTATGAAGCTTAAGCTGGGAAAATCTATAAATTACCCACTCTATCTGCGGATCTATGATGGGCGCTCATGAAATGCCCTGCGGGAATTTATCATGAATCACGAACCGATGGGACTTTACCCAACATGACGGAGACATATAAAAGTGTGAGCGGGTTGTGATTAATTAAGTGGATCCTAAATCAGACTTAAATCCTAGTCCTAAATTAATAGACATAATTGCGGTCACCCTGGCTCAAAGTTTGCTGAACGTATGATCTACTTCAGTTACCTTAACCTACTCTCATACGTGAGTCATTACGCATAATTGCAAGCTTTCAATGAGGATACCTCTTGGCGTTATATTTAGTTATACAAGTCGCTTTACAAGTTCCGTTCTAGCGCCGATAGAATTTGTCACCATGAACAAGTAACGGTTGCTATGCCTTAACCCTATATTGTGACCACTAGTTCAAACAATTAAAAGGGAATTGCAAGCTGCTTTCTCAGCCATATCACTTTGACAATCACCCAAGGTCAAGTCAGGTCAGGGCTACCAGCTGTTTAGGCAGGCTGACTTAATGACTTTCACGTGAGGTCAGGTCAAAACAGGAAATGGGGAGAGAAGAATTTAATGAGTGAATGTTCATGAAAGAATAAATTCACGAACGCGCTAAATTCCCATGATTGAAACAATATAATTTAACCCATTGGTGCTGGGTATGACGTGTACGTACGTGCTAAGCCCACCGTGAGTTCTTGTTTGATTGTTATTACGCATAGATGGCAAAACTACGAGTCCCGCCCGTCTCGCCCGTTTACCCGTTTCTTTGATTTACGAAATATTTTACGTTATCTTATTTTGCTGTTACTAATGTTAAAAAACATTATAAAAATTGTAATGTTTATGATAGAAATAACACCATCGATTTTCATAGCACTAGTGAAAAATACGTTTTTCCCGCCATTTCAAATCAGGCACTAGCAGGGCCATCTATCGGCAGACATTTCGCAAAAAACATAGAAAGTGGGCATAGCATTTACCCCGGCACCAATGGGTTAATCACGAAAAAAAAAATTAAATAGACACTTAATATATGAACGATTTCATAATGTTTAACTCCATACCGCGATTGACAGTAATGAAAAGTGAGGTCAGAGAATGAGAAATGAGAGTGAGAGCGAGCCATTGCTGTAATTAGCAGTTTAACTCAAAAACTAACGTGAGCTGGCTGTACACGGCCTAACACATTTAGGAAAAAATAAAAAATAAATGAAAAGAGAAGGGGCCCATAAATGTGTACTCACGGTTTTCTTAAAGAAATGTCATCTTGCGTTTGCTTGAAGCCGAGCGGTTTTTGGAAGATGATTTGGTTGCGTGCCAAAAGGACGCAACTACCACCTCTGCCACCACTGTAAGAGTTATATAAAGGACCTCTAAACACTGGTGACAGGGATAGTAAAAGCTTAGTGGCTTAAATCTCTTTTATTCTATAGAGTTCTGCACACAGTGAATAAACACAAGGGATGACGTCTTGGGTTATGGCTGGTCACTTGGGGTCACTGGCCAGCCCACCTCCACGGAAGACCGGTCCAGCAGGCTGTTGTGACCTTGACCGCGCCAGTCACACTCTGTCTTGACCGGTCAAAACGCGGCCTTAAGTATCCAAATGCTGGCTTGGGGGGGGGCGAGTAGGACCGCCCATCCATTGGCGCATGCCGCTTGGGTTGACTAGTGTGGGCGCCACGTGGCCTCCATGTGGGCACCACACAGGCATATAATACCGATAAAATACACTATAGTGTGTGTGAATATATATACATATTTATCATCATCATCATAAGGGGGCATACGCATGGCTGTGCTTTGCCTCGCCCAACCTTTGCCTCCACCTCCTGGGGTCCCTCCGAGCAAGCCTCCATGCAGCATTCCTTCCAACTCCCAGCACATCTTGGCAGATCTGATCGACTTGCTTCAGCCAAGAGTTCCATGGCCTTCCCCTTGGTCTTCTCCAGCCTGGGTCAACCTTCTCGGAGATGACTCTATGAACCGGATCTTCCTCAGGGAAACGAGCCACATGTCCATAGATATGAAGTTGGCGCTCTCGTATCAGACTGATAATGGGTCTTGAATCAGTCTCATGGAGTATCCTCTGATTGGACACATGGTTCCTCCAGGTATACCCCATGATTCTGCGAAGACACTTAGTACTGAAGGAGTTAAGACGGGCTTTCAGAGCACTGTTCAGTGTCCAGGTCTCACACCCATAGAGTAAGACCAGGATCACCAGTGCTCTGAAGAGCCTGATCTTAGTTCTCCTAGTCAAATACCGACAGTGCCAAATACTCCTATTGAGTGAGTCCATAACGTCGTAGGCCAATCCGAGTTGTCGAGTGACTACCCGGTCAGAACCTCCGTCGCTCTGCACTACACTACCAAGATAAGTGAAGCTATCCAAGACCTCAATGTTCTTGCCACAGGCACAGACTGAACATTGACATCCAAAAAGTCCCCAAATTCCTGAAACTTGGTCTTGGTCCCAATGGCTTCGCCTCCTCATGTAGCGCCTCGAGAGCTACTTCCAGGACCTCTAATGTCTCCGCTAAAATCACTGCATCATCGGCAAAGTCAAGGTCTGTGACCTTGAAATTACCAATTGATGCCCCACAGGAACTACGGTTCATGGTACGGCCAAGTATCCTGTCCATTGAAAAGGGTTGGGGCCAGGACACATCCCTGTCTCACCCCAGCAGACACCGGGAAAAAGGCAGAGATGCCCTCCCCACACTTGACAGCACTCTCAATATCTGTATACAGGCCAGACAGCAAACCAATAATTCCAGGGGGGATCCCACGGAGACCCAGTAGGCTCCAGAGACTCTACTGGTGCACTGAGTCGAAAGCCTTCTTGAGATCAACATATTTATCTATGAACATATATATATATGTATCGAAAGCCTTCTTGAGATCAACATATTTATCTATGAACATATATATATATATATATGTATCTATGTATCTATGAATATATATATATATATATACAGTAAGTCCCCTACTTACGAACATTCTACTTATGAACATTCCATACATATGAACAAATTTTTAAAAATATTTAAGTCCGAAAAATTGTTTGAAACATGCTAGCAAACTTCAAATTTCCCGGGCGCTAATATAGTTCATGAGTCTACCAGGCCGTGACGCTGCCGCGTTCACTTAGCTGTGTGCATTACTCGCTTCAGTCGCCTGCCCTCCCGCCATAAACATGAATGCATCTGTTCACTGTGTCCTCGAGTACCTCCAATTTTTGTGTCATAATTCGCTTTACCTGTGCATCAATCCATCAAAAATACTTATTGGGATACAAAACAAAACTTTAAAACGATGGGAAAAAAGACAATGGAGACCTGACTTTGGATATATGAACAAATGGAGTTACGAACAGTTATGAGCTGCCCAATTATGTGAATCGTGTTAACCCATTGCCGACGGGCATGCCATGCCATGCCCACTGTGAGATTACTTGTTTGATTGTTTTTACACATAGATGGCAACCCTTGTACTAAATCAGCAATGAGCCAATTACGAGTACTGCCTGTCTCGCCTGTTTACCCTTTTCTTTGATTTACGAAATATTTTACGTTATCATATTTTGCTGTTACTAATGTTAAAAAACATTATGTATACCAATGTATACAAAGGGCTGGGGTTCTTTGCTTACCTAGGCTCTGCCCACTACCTTGCTTTAACCCATTCGCCACATTTGGCAAGAATAGATGCCATACCCACTTTGAGACACGTTTATTTATTGTATTTACACATAGATGGCTCCACAAGTTCTTAATCACCAAACTGCCAGTTATCAAGAACTACCTATTTCACCTGTTTACCCTTTTCCTTCACTTTTGGAAAGGTTTTTTTTTTGTATCATTTCATTGTCTAAAATATTCTTGTGACAATTTGGTAATCATAACATCAATAACAATAATAACAGTATCGATAGCAATGGTATTCATTTTCCCACCAATGCAATGAATGGGAAAATCAGGGTCAGTAACTAGGGCCTACTGATAGACTCCTTGCCGGCTGAGTACATGTGGAGCCATCTGTATGTAACATAATTCACTAAAAACTACAGGGGACAGAACATAAATCCGTGGCGAATGGGTTAACATTTTTTTTTTCTTTGTTCCTCACTATATATGTTTTTATTTTACAAATTTTATAGGTATTTTGTATCCAATTTCTTTCACTTAGATATCAACTCATTTGTATCTATTTAATTTATACATATCTTAATATTATGTATGTTCCATACATCATAAAGTTAAATCTGCATAAAACTGTCAAAACTGTTCTCTTGAAAATCAAAAGTACCAAACGTTTAGCCTTTCCTTTGTGTTGTGACACCAGTACACAGCACAACTGTTTGGAATTGCTTCATAAGTATGAACGATTAATAGGATTGAGCAGTTTCAGGTTTAAAAGTTTAATAAAGGTTTGATTTGATTCCATTTGTTACAATGGATATTCTTGGTGTGACATGGTGTCTGTTTCATTTTGCTTCTAAGTTATCCCTTATGTGCAAGGAATGGCCAGGGTTACCATCCACTGGTGGCGAGGGATTTGAATGCAGTTCAGCAAGATTGTTAGACCAGATTGCTACCGCTGCACCACACAATCAAGAGAGTAGTATCATTATGTCTAACAGCTGTGATGTCTGATGGGAGAGTGAGACCATTTCAATTGATATGGTATGCATTATGGGGAAAATGCTGTGCTCATTTTTTTTCTTCTTTTTTTTTTTTTTTTCTTTTTAGAAATATCACTACACATAGATGGCTCTGCCTTACCTGATTTCACCTTCCCTTGAATTGGCAGGAAAATGTATTTTTTACTAGTGCTATGAATATCGATGGTATTATTCTTATTATAAACATTATAATTACTATAATGTTATAAACGATAGTAATAGCAAAATAAGAGAACATAAAACATTTTCGTAAATTAAATAGGCAATACTCGTAATTGGCTCATTGGTGTTTTAGTACAAGTGTAGCCTTCTATGTGTAAAAACAATTAAGCAAGTAAACTTACAGTGGGCATGTCCCAGATACGTGACAGCCCGTCGCGAATGGGCGAAGACCCATCATCCTGTACTCTATTCTATGGATGAAAGACCCAGCATCCTGTACTCTATTCTATGGATGAAAGACCCAGCATCCTGTACTCTATTCTATAGATGAAAGACCCAGCATCCTGTACTCTACTCTATGGATGAAAATTGTACCTATAATGGAAGACCTGTTTACATCAGCCCTTGCCCATGATTGCCTTCAAAATAGACTATTTTATTTTCTTTAAATAGAACAAAAACTTTTTAATGAAAAAAATAAACTAGAGAAATAACCACTACAAACCTGGTATTTCTGCAGGTGCAGGAAGATTAATTAAACCTGTAACATCTGTTATTGCACATGATGTTATTGTTGATTCTGCTGTCAGGAGTGTTGCTATACATTTACTCTGTCCACAGTTCCAAAGTCTTGCTGTTCCATCCCTGGGGCAAAGCATAATTTAAGTAAACATCTCACACCAAATTTCAAAGTATTTCTTTTGTAATTAAGATAGTACATGCAAGGTAATTATCCTGGTCTCTAATTCAAAATTAAAAAGTGAACTTTATCCACATCTCTTTTCATCTTTATTCTAATGTGCTGTCAAACATCAACAATTCCCTTTAACCCATTCGTCCCAGATTTATGTTATGTCCCCTGTAGTTTTTGGTGAATTTTGTTACAGATGGCTCATGTGCTCAGCCGGCAAGGAGTCTATCAGTAGGCCCTCGTTACTGATCCTGATTTTCCCATTCCTTGAATTGTTGGGAAAATGTGTTTTTCTTATTAATACCATTGTTATCAATACTGTTATTATCATTATTGATGTTATGATTATTAAATTGTCATTAAAATATTTTTGACAATGAAATGATACAAAAGACCCTTTCCTAAAGTGTAGGGAAAGAATAAACAGATGAGATAGGTAGTTCTGATAACTGGCTATTTGGTGAATAAGAACTTGTAGAGCCATCTATGTGTAAATACAATTAATAAACATGTGTTACAGTGGGCATGGCATGTATTCTTGCCACATGGGGCGAATGGGTTAATGAAATAATAGAGCCTTTAAAAACTTTACATAAGGCAAAGTTATTTTCGCATTTTGCATTGAGCATGCAGTGACAGTATAACTTTTCTGTCTAGTATCAGTTCTTAAGAAAACTGACTTATCACAAAACAGTGTTCGTGGGGACGAATGCTGAAAAAGCTATGAATGAGCATGAATATCTTTATGGTGGAAGAGATGTATTTGACTGATTTCAAATAAATATTTGTCAAAAATGCACATATTTCTGATGAAGGTATACTAAAAACAGTCAGATATATCTCTTACACTATGAAAGTATTAATTCTCATTCATACTGCAAAAATGGAAAAATGGCAAGATATGCCATTTATATACTGACCAAAGTGCTCACTTTTCAGCCTTTTTAGAAGTTATCTAGGTTTTATGCCACTAGAGTTGCATAAAGTTCACAGAACCATAAAGTATTTGTAGAATAAGACATCCAACTCTGTATATCAGTGGTTCTCAACCTCTCTGTTACAATTATCTTCCAAGTGTGTTTCATACTATTTTACAGATATATTTCTTGCCCTTGAAGTTCCTTGTATTTATAATCATATATTAATTGATTAAATAGTTGCATGTCACAGAAATTTTGAATACATTCTTAATATATTGCCAGAATAGGTTGAGAACCACTGCTGTAGAAGATGAAAACAACAAAAACATCACAATAACTTAATTGGTTTTCAATGTGACCTACACTCACTTGCTGACAGAAATCACATTTTTCCCACGATCAACAAAAGCTGTGTCTAGAACAGCTCCTGTGTGGCCCTTTAGAACAACGGGACACTGCCCCGTGGCCGCATCCCATATTCTGAGTTGCATGTCCCCGCCCCCCGACAGCACCACAATGCCCGAGGGGAAGAGGCGACAGGTATACACATCAAAAAAATGACCTTCAAGCAATCTCTGGAATCATAAAGAAACTTCTATAATCAATGCTAGTTTATAGAATAGAAGCAAAATTTGAAAATAAGGAAATAAATAATAACAGATAAAACATCCAGTAACAGCAAACTCTTGGCAACAAGGGGAATAAAAAAGATACTGAATTTAATAATGGTAGAGGTTCATTTCTTTAAATCTGACACTGATACTTTTTGAGATCCCTAACTTATAGCCGGACACGCCTATAGTTGCCATGAAATACTAACTCATCATGATGGGCATGGCTATAGGTATCATGCTATAGTGGGTCGAGTGGGAAGTTCTGCTAAACACAGCGGACTTCCTGGCCAAAAAGCTAGTGGGTTGCCACAAGTTACCAGAATGAGTGACACAAAGAAATTTCTGGCACCATCACTGTATGATTAACTATATGAAATAATCAATATTCTATGGTGAATACACAAGTTACAAAATAGCAACATTTTAAAAATAAAAACCTTTCCTATCTTTAAATTGTGCCCCAGCTTGGCTTCTTTATAAGTACTTTGATGTTATGATATTTGTTGCTGCTCCAATATCTTCAGATATTCATTTGGTTGACCAAATTATAACAATGTAACAAGAGAAATGTCATACATATAATATCAAATTATTAGGAACCACTACTGCAAGAATCAAACTGCTTCTCATCTAAGAGGACATTTGTGCATAATTCAAAAAATGAACTTAGAATAATTTTATCTATATATAATTAATCATGGGCACTTTGTTTCCCTATAATCAAAAGAACTTTCAAGTAAATGTACATAGTACATAGAGTTCTCAACATTTAACCCCAAAAATCTGATGGCAATTGACTGAGTATATGTGTACTTTTCATGTTTGATCTGTGCTGACACAACTAAGCATATCTTAAAAACTGGCAGTGAGAAGTAGGGACAGTAAGCAAGTTTCTAGTTAAGTTTCTTCTGGAAACATCCCCTCCTAATCCCATCCTCTAATCTCCTTACATTTCCATCATACAAGTACCTTATGACCCTCTTTTGAAAAGTGAAAGAATGGAGTAATTATCAAAAAGAAAAGATTTATCCTAAAGTTTAGCATGTACATCTTCAACAGGCTTTACTATTCAACCGTATATCTGCTACCTCTCTCAATATTTTCTCATATTCTCGCCTCTTCTATTTCTTTCTATTTTAATGGCAACATTAACTTCTTTTAACTTTGATGCCCCCAGTTGTTCAGTTGCTGTGTGACATAACAGGTTAAGACATACTTTCTGGGTGTAAACTCAAGCACTAAAAACACCAAAGACCAAAATTGGTTTTTGTTAAGGAAAAGATTTTGATTTGGAATAACTCTATATTTATATGATAAGATTTACTATATATATTTACTATACTCAGTCAGTTATCATCAAACTTTAGGGGTTCAATCTTGAGAACTATTAATCATATATGCTAAGTCCACCACAATTTTAGTTTATCAATATGCTAAGTCAACATGGAGTCAAATATTAGTTGTATCTACCTCAGCTGTTTACCCTTTTTCTCTATTTTAGGAACACTCACTGTCACTTCATTAATTTAACATTATAAAAATCATTATGTCAAATAATAGTATAAATATCAACAGCATTAGGAAAAAAATTATCTTCTTGCAAATTCAAAGAATGGGGAAACTTCTTGGTGGCTAAGCATTTGTGGAGCCATTTGTGTGCAACAAAATTCACAAAAAAAAATGGTGGACTGTACATAAACCCTCAGCCAATGGGTTAATATCTCAGACACAAACAATAAAAGAAAAGAAAAGGCAAGCTTACTCTCACTTCACCACTCTCTGTTTCCCAGACATGTAGTTTGTTTTCTGAGCAAACGGAGACACCAAGTCCACCATTTGCTACATCCAGTCCAATCACCTGAGGAGAATAAAATAAAAATGATATATATTTTAGCCCTCAAATACTGTAGCAGTAGATATGCAAGTTATGAAATCATTATGGTATAATACTGTTTATGATCATCAATTACTTTCATAGTCATTAGTTTCCTCACAATTATCAAGCTGAGGAGAAATACTTCTTTCCTACACTTTTTGCATGGATGTTGCTAAAAGATGCAACTGGTGCAATGAATATGGTGGACATTCCCGATGGATGGTGTGACACAGCAATCGTCCGTTCTGTGCGGGAGTGAACCTGGAAAATGCTGTCGGATGCTGAGCCCCCGATCTTGCCATAGTCTCCCTTCTCTCCAAGACGCTTGTGGAATATCCATGCAGAACTGTCATTATCCCTATAAGGAAAGAAAGAGAGAGAAAAGTTAATTTCTGTCAAAATCTCAAGGTAATATCATTTATTCCAGATCCTGCTTATGAAAGCAATGTCCAAGGTCTTTCCTCCTTTGTTATATGTCAATATAATGCCAGGATAAAAAGCCATGTATAAAAAAAATGGGAAAAAAAAGGAAAAGAAAATGGTTATGCTTTCTGAATTACATAAAGCCACCTCCAAACTTGCCCATGAAGACAACATAAAGGGGCTTTTAAAATGACAAAAGCAAATAAATTAGGCACAATCTCATACTACAATTTGCCCTTCCTACCAATTGCATTTAGTATTGCTGTTACTGTTCTTGACAGTTCAAACCACTGTAATCATAAAGAATCCATTGCTACTAAAGTCAGTGTATCTTGAGATTTGGAACTATTCTAGAAAATTACCTCGAATTCTTTTAAAAATTAACCTTGCTATGTTTTGCTTCAGCCTCTTAATACTATGTGGGCCCAAGTTGTGGGATACAGGAGGTATCTGCATGATAATTCCTATGAATACAGGAAGGCGAAAAGAATGCAATAGCATCAATATTGAGTAAACTTTTCATGTACTACAATTGTGATTAAACAGAATATAGAAAAAGGAAAACATCCCAAAAAAGAGGTGTAAGGAAATCCAACCCCTCTTTAGGTAAAATCTACGGGAAAGCACCGCAATAAACCTCACTGAAACCCCTAACCCCTCTAAATCATAGCTATGTCCTCGCTATATAACCTGTAACCCACTAGCTGGGGGGTCTGCCACCTGGACGCTATGGTACTTATATGCTCTATGCCTAGTTGTATAATTCATAGCCAGGAGACTCTGCCCCCCTACCCCTTGCCTAATTAACAAAAGCTTCACCTTATATATTCTGGCAGGATAGATCCTGGGCAACTGCACTTTGGTGATGCACATTGAGGGTATACAGGAGGCTTTGCCACTGCCCCCCCTTCATGATCTAAAAAACCTTCACCTTGTATGTTCTGGCAGGATACAAGCCCGGGCAAATATCTGCACCTTGTACTGATAATTTCTTACCTTGACCAATAAATCCAGATTGGCCAGCGGCAATGGTTTCAAGTCTTCCCAGCACCTTAAACACAGTAACCAAGCCGTGATGGAAATGACTTCAATTTCAATTGACTTCCCTTGGGTTGGGCTTCTATTGTTACATGATTGTATATTACAGACCTTATTGCTAGTGTCTAGCATCTCATCATGACCAAGTACAGTTCCTATTGCCTTCCTTGCCTTTCCATGGCATACATCATTTGCTATAGTTCAGTTTGATTATTTTTGTTTTCTCAATTTCTTCTTATTTTCTCTTTGCATAAAATACAGTGACAGGATATATTGAGTTTTACATTCCTCTACTCCCCTTATAATTAGTTTGCAGTGAAAATGATATAGAAGAAAAGTGTCTCAGAGTGTTATGTTCTATCAAATGACAGGGTCAGATTCTTCATTTGCGGTGTAAGGTGTAATTTCCAATAATACCCACTATAATAAGATATTCTATTTATGTGGCATTTCACCTGGCAATGTAAATATGATGAGCGATCTGGTAGATATCCTCTATTCTTTATTCTTAGCTCTTGATGCGGCAGATAATTTTAAATAATCAATTAATCTGTCACATATATTCTATATTTTTGATATGTGCAAGAAATGTCATTACAGAATCATCAAGGTAACCATTCCAAACACTCTTTGACATGAAACACTGATTATCATCCACTGAAACATTATGAATTTTAACGATTGGTGACTTTGGTGTAATCTATTTCACATTACAACCAGTGGGTTGGAAGGGGGTTTGTCCATCCAAAAGTGTTACCCAAAGAGGTTCTTGGTGGCAAAGCCTCTTACATTGATATGAATGTATAAATACCCTAGAATTTAACCTTGCAATGTTTACCTATTGGTCTTGTATCTGTTATATAAAGAAAGAGAAGAAAGAGGAAAACAAAAAAATGGGAATGCTTTTTGTTATATAAAGCCACCTCCAAGCTTGGTTAATGTTACTGAGAGCATTGCACAAAGAGGGAAATGGACACTGCCATTTACAGAGCATAAGAAATAGAGTAATAAACACATGTACAGTGACCTCCTATTTACCACGAAATGACTAAAATATCTACTGCATGTCACCTCTCAGAGACTAATGTCAGGTAAATGGGGCTTGCCCCTGTATGGGGAATAAATAGAAGGTAGGAAAGGTTAGGTTTCAAATTTGGGTTTGCATATTAGCCTGGTTTTGGGGTTCATAGAAACACCGGAACTTACCAAAATGGGACGGAACTGACCAAAACGGAGTTGTATTGATTCTATTGCGTCTCTTCAATTTAATTTTTTTAATCGATTCAAGTCAGAGGAGCGAGTTTGTAAGGTGTATTTCCAATAATACCCACTATAATAAGATATTCTATTTATGTGGCATTTCACCTGGCAATGTAAATATGATGAGCGATCTGGTAGATATCCTCTATTCTTTATTCTTAGCTCTTGATGCGGCAGATAATTTTAAATAATCAATTAATCTGTCACATATATTCTATATTTTGATATGTGCAAGAAATGTCATTACAGAATCATCAAGGTAACCATTCCAAACACTCTTTGACATGAAACACTGATTATCATCCACTGAAACATTATGAATTTTAACGATTGGTGACTTTGGTGTAATCTATTTCACATTACAACCAGTGGGTTGGAAGGGGGTTTGTCCATCCAAAAGTGTTACCCAAAGAGGTTCTTGGTGGCAAAGCCTCTTACATTGATATGAATGTATAAATACCCTAGAATTTAACCTTGCAATGTTTACCTATTGGTCTTGTATCTGTTATATAAAGAAAGAGAAGAAAGAGGAAAACAAAAAAATGGGAATGCTTTTTGTTATATAAAGCCACCTCCAAGCTTGGTTAATGTTACTGAGAGCGTTGCACAAAGAGGGAAATGGACACTGCCATTTACAGAGCATAAGAAATAGAGTAATAAACACATGTACAGTGACCTCCTATTTACCACGAAATGACTAAAATATCTACTGCATGTCACCTCTCAGAGACTAATGTCAGGTAAATGGGGCTTGCCCCTGTATGGGGAATAAATAGAAGGTAGGAAAGGTTAGGTTTCAAATTTGGGTTTGCATATTAGCCTGGTTTTGGGGTTCATAGAAACACCGGAACTTACCAAAATGGGACAGAACTGACCAAAACGGAGTTGTATTGATTCTATTGCGTCTCTTCAATTTAATTTTTTTAATCGATTCAAGTCAGAGGAGCGAGTTACACTAATATCTGATTGTGATGATGATGAGTTCGTTAGTTAGTCAGCAGGAGTAAGTGACACTGTCTACGTATGTAATGATGATAAGTTCGTCAGTTGATTATTTAGTCCGCAGGAGCGAGTGACAATTATTGACTATGTGATGATGATGAGTTCGTCAGTTGCCAATGTTAGGTCCATTCTGGTCCAATTTGGTCCGTTCCGGTGTTTCTATGAACCGCTGGTTTTGGGACTTCCTCTCTGGAGGCGCGTCACTCTCGGGAACTTATACCTCAAGCTTGCCCATGAAGACAAACAGAAACGGGCTTTTAATATGACAAAAGCACACATTACGTACAATTCAACTGTGCATTTTGTCCTCCCTACCGACAAAGACCAATTCTTTGACATCGTAAGAAATCTATTGTTCCAATACGATAGATTAACGTACCTCCAAATCAACCAAATAACTCCGAACTACAAATATAAAGGCAAAGCAAAGTGCACCGTCGCGGTCCCTCTTTCTATCAACTTCTACTCCATGACACGCTCTCCCTCATTTACAGAACAACCTACAGCAAACAAATATTCTATACAACTCCCGCTTACTTACACCTCTCAAACCTCACCTCAAAGTGTCATGCCAGTCGCTCTGGATGACGAGCACACTGCCCCTCGCCGCCATGGCTTGTTGGCGTCGCTTCCGCAGCGGGGCCGCAACTCCTCTTCGGGACCCAGGCGCCGTCGTGGGCGGCTCTTGGCGCTCAGTTGGTTTTTGGAAGTGGTCTTAATGGCAAGGTTTCTTGTTTGAGTGACGGTAGAGCCTACGAGCATTTTTTAGGCTCGGGAATTTTAGAGGTTTGTATACTGATTGGCGATTTTTAATTCGGTAAACCTTCACTTCTTTTATTTAGTAATTTTCATGTCATTTCTCACAGAATAAAAACAATTCTTATTTCCATCTCTATGGGGATTTTCATCATCGTCGGAAGATTTATTTTCTAATTACCAAGTTACTAAACTGAAGGTATTGCCATTTTTCTAAAGTATCAAATAATTGAACATGACCTTTGATCGAATAAAAATGTCAGATCTATGTGCCAGGACACGCAAATACACGCACACACAAATCGTGCGTGTAGTCGTAATTCCCCCAGGTAAAATGGACTTTAATAATAGTTAATGTTCAACGCCAAAGATAATTAAAACACCGATTGACAAAGAAAGCCATTCAATTTTGTACGTAAACTATTCAAATATTTTAAAGAACGGAAAAAAAACTATTGACCCTGGGCACAGACCATTGCCCAGGGGCATGACACTTCCCCCACCAAGGAAATAGACTTTTCTGCCTTCGCAAAGGCTGACTTGCAGGGTTAGCCTGACACACCGCCAGCAACCATGTCTGCTTCCTTAGTAGACCTATTTTTGTATAAAAATGATAAATAAAAGAGTTAGAATGGCTTCCAGATTCCTCCTGACTGGAAAAGGGGCTTAGTCATTCCTATCTGGAAAGGGAAAGGGGAACAAAGGGACTGTGGCAACTACAGAGGTATTACATTGCTCAACGTACCAGCCAAGGTCCTCGCTCATCTGCTTTTGGCACGAGTGCGCAGTCTGGTTTTTCACCCAAGAAGTCAACTATAGATCGTGTCTTAGCACTTCGTGTCCTTGTGGAACGCCGTCTTGAGTTTCAACAAGGCATGCTTCCAGCTTATGTTGATCTCAAGAAGGCTTTTGACTACTGGGTCTCCGTGGGATCCCCCCTGGGATTATTGGTTAGTTGTCGGTCCTGTATACAGATACCGAGAGTGTTGTCAAGTGTGGGGAGGGCATCTCTGCCTTTTTTCCCGGTGTCTGCCGGGGTGAGACAGGGATTTGTCCTGGCCCTAACCCTTTTCAATTCTTGTATGGACTGGATACTTGGCCGTGCCGTGAACCATAGTTCCTGTGGGGTATCAATTGGTAATTTCAAGGTCACAGACCTTGACTTTGCCGATGATGCAGTGATTCTAGCAGAGACATTAGAGGTCCTGGAAGTAGCTCTAGAGGCGCTGCAAGAGGAGGCAAAGCCATTGGGACTCGCGGTCAACTGGACCAAGACCAAGTTTCAGGAATTTGGGGACTTATTGGATGTCGATGTTCAGTCTGTGCATGCCTGTGGCGAGAACATTGAGATCTTGGATAGCTTCACTTATCTTGGTAGTGTAGTGCAGAGCGATGGAGGTTCCGACCGGGAAGTCACTCGACGACTCGGACTGGCCTACGACGTTATGGACTCACTCAATAGGAGTTTTTGGCGCTGTCGGTATTTGACTGGGAGGACTAAGATCAGGCTCTTCAGAGCACTGGTGATCCCGGTCTTACTCAACGGGTGTGAGGCCTGGACACTGGACAGTGCTCTGAAGGCCTTTCTTGCCTCCTTTGGTACTAAGTGTCTTCGCAGAATCATGGGGTATACCTGGAGAGACCATGTGTCCAATCAGAGGATACTCCATGAGACTGATTCAAGACCTATTGCCAGTCTGATACGAGAGCGCCAACTTCAGCTCAATGGGCATGTGGCTCGTTTTCCTGAGGAAGATCCGGCTCATAGGGCCATCTCCGAGAGGGTTGACCCAAGCTGGAGAAGACCAAGGGGAAGGCCACGGAACTCTTGGCTGAAGCAAGTCGATCAGAACGGCCAAGATGTGCTGGGGGTTGGAAGGAATGCTGCATGGAGGCTTGCTCGGAGGGACCCCAGGGGGTGGAGGCAAAGGTTGGGCGCGGCAAAGCGCAGCCATGCGTATACCCCCTTATGATGATGAATGGCTTTCAGGAAACGCGTAACTTACACTGCACACAAAATGCAACATCTTACACTGATCCGAGGAGGTCATATGACACATGGTATCAGGGTCGTCATTCAGCTTCTAGTTAGGGGGGCAGTGATGGCGAGCGAAGTGAGTGCAATCAGTTTCTAGGGCGCTGCGATTTAGGGGAAAAAATCTTGAGGGTGTGGCCCTTGGGGTAGTGGGGGGGGCAAGCCAGACCTTGCCCCCCCCTACTTAGGGGCAATTGCCTTCGCCCCTAATGACGCCCCAGTGCACAATACCAGATAGTTTATTCGCTGGTAATAACACAAATAATTTGCTTCAAATAGTCTAATACGATACTTTTCATGAGAATGAGCTTCTGAGGGGAAAAATTTAGACTTTCCACAGGTGTTCTCTTTGTATTTTAATGACCGTATCCTTGTTATGGATTCTTCATTGTGTATTCACTGTTTGCATTATGTTAGTGCACATATTCTCCTATCATAAAAGATGATCCAGTTTTATGAATTTATATGTATGTATATAAGTATCTATCTACCTATATATATACACACATATACATATATGCATACATATATATATATATATATATATATATATATATATATATATATATATATATATATATATAGTATGTATATATATATATATATATATATATATATATATATATATATATATAGTATGTATATATATATATATATATATATATATATATATATATAGTATGTATATATATATTATATATATGATAATATATATATATATCATATATAATATATATATATATATATTATACATATAATATATATATATACAAACTCATAAAACTGGATTATCTTTCATGATCGGAGAACATATGCAGTAATATAATGCGAACAATGGATACGGTCATTAGCAAAAGGAGGACATCTGTGGAAAGTAAAAAAAAAATAACACAAAAATAAACAATGTTTGCGTCGGTTTCAATAAAAGAAACGCACGCTTTGTAGATTTTATTTGTCTTTGAGCTCAGATTTAAAAAGTTCAAGCTACGATTAATGTAACATTTTTTCAGATCCTTTGCCAAAGGGGTTTAATAATCAGCTGTAATATTTGCTAACTCTGCATTACACCGTGGGCGTCGGAAGACAAACGTCCGTCCCGCGCATGACGTCACTTGGCGTAAAGCTTGGGGGTTCGACGCTCGGTTCGACAACTGACTGGCGCGCGCAAAACTCACAATGATTCGTAAATGTTCATTTTTTTTACGTAATATTTGGGCTCGCCCAATTTATTGTCATTTAGCTTATATATGTATAGTTATGTGTATGTAAATGTATTATTAGTAGTATTAATTCTATATTTATAATGCTACGCCAGAGGGTCTTTGTCTCTGTGCAAACGTGTGCGAGCGCGTGCGAACGCGTGTTGGCGTGTTTTGACAGGAAGATGACGCGGCGGCGGAGGAAGGGGGCAGACGGGGGAGTCGAGTTTTGGTGCCGCTGCTGTGATGACCTCGCGTGTGCCCTTCTCCAGCCTGATATACTTTGTGTTGCCCTGTTATATGCTGTATTGTGCAGTGTGATGTGCTGGTTTGCCTCCTGTATTGTGCCTATAGAAAAGTGTACGGGTAAATAACTGTGTAAATAAAGGAAAGGCAACCAGTGGCCTAGGGCCAGCTGCTCAGCCCCGCCGTGACCTCCGGGGCCGGAAGGCTAAATTAGAGAAGGTGAGCCCGAGTACTTTCCAAGGCTTGTGTTGGGGTTGCGGTGAGAGAGGGCACAGACGTAGTCGGTGTCGGAAGGAATGGAGAACGTGTCCTGACGCCTTCCAGCAGTGCTGCAAGGGCTGTGGCAGGTATGGTCACCATCCGAGTGCCTGTCCTAAGGCTAAGGAAGTGGTACAGGCGGAACACTCGGACAGGCTGGAGAAGGGGGGCCGAAACCCAGCCGTCCTCGATTCCCGGGCCCCGACGTGTGTAAGCTGTCGTCGAACAACTAGCTCGATGCAGGTGGAGGGCTCAGTAGATGGGAAGCCAGGCCGCCTGACAGTGGACACTGGAGCTGAGAAGACCCTAGTGCGGCCTGATATGTTGGCCACTACGCGACTTCCAGATGCACCACAGAGATTGTGTGGTGTCACGGGGCATTGTGTACAGCTCAAGGGGCCAGTGGAGGTTTGTATTGGCGTGGGCAGCACGGTGCAGCGGCTGCCGGTTTATGTGGCCGATATGGACGAGCACTGCTTGCTGGGCCTTGACTACCTGACGCAGAGTAAGGCTTGTGTCGACCTTGGACGGAAGCTGGTGAGGGTGCACGGTGAAGATGTGCCCTTGCTTCCAGAAGTTGGCTGTGCAGAGGTAGTTACGGCTGAGCGGCTGCACCTTGCCCCCAGGACAGAGTCTAGAATCTGGTGTCGACTATCAAGAGTGATGTGTGGAGTAGAGGGCCTAGTGGAGCCCATCCAAAACCTGCAGCTGGCTGATGGCGTAGCAGTTGGGCGGAGCCTTGTTGGAGCGGGGGAGGAGTTAGTTACAGTGTTGGTAGCTAACTTTTCCGATAAGGCCCAGAAGTTGCCAGCTGGAACAAAGCCGGGCACTTGTGAGGAAGTGGAGCGTCCAGAAGAGTCGTCGGGGAGCGAGGAGTTGGTCGGTGTAAGGCCGTTGCCTGACTTCCTCGAGGATTTGGCGCAGCGGAGCGCCACTCACCTGACTAAGGCACAGACAGAGAAGATGCGCCACACCCTGGCTCAGTATACAGATGTGTTTAGCAGGGGTGACTTGGACCTAGGCCGCACAGGATTAGTGAAGCACCGCATTAACACTGGAAGTAGTTTGCCCATCAAGAGCCCCCCCCGACGTATTGCACCTACCAGGCGAGAAGAGATGCAACACACTGTCAATGAGCTGGCGGCGCAGGGGGTGATTGAACGGTCAGACAGTCCATGGTCATCAGCTGTAGTCCTGGTGAAGAAAAAGGACTATGACTATCAAGGACTCATACCCCTTGCCGAGAATTGATGACACACTCGATGCATTGGTGGGGGCCAGGTGGTTCTCCACACTCGACCTGAAGTCGGGTTATCACCAGGTAGAGATGGCGGAAGAGGACAAGCCAAAGACTGCCTTTTCCTTCGGGCAAGGCCTGTGGCAATTCAACGTCATGCCCTTTGGTCTCTGCAATGCCCCTGGTTGTTTCGAGCGTCTGCTGGAGAGGGTATTGGATGGCCTGCAGTGGAGGACGGCGCTTGTCTACATTGATGACGTCATCGTCTTCGGGAGCACCTTCGAGGAGGAACTGGAGCGGCTGGAGGAGGTACTACAGCGGTTGAGGAAGGCCAACCTCAAACTCAGCCCCAAGAAATGCTCGATGTTCCAGCATGAGGTGCCGTTTCTGGGGCATGTCGTCAGTCAAGACGGTGTGCGCACCGACCCACAGAAGGTGGCAGTGGTGGAGAAGTGGCCAGTTCCCACTAATGTGGCGGAAGTCAGGAGCTACCTGGGCCTGTGCACATACTACCGCCGCTTTGTACAGGACATTGCCAGCATAGCAGCTCCTCTCCACCGACTTACACGAAAAGGGGAGTGCTTCCAGTGGGACGAGGCATGTCAGTCCGCATTTGACAACCTGAAGAAGGCCCTGGTGGAAGCACCAGTCTTGCCCTACCCGGACCCGAAGCTCCCTTACCTGTTGGACACTGACGCTAGTGCGGAAGGCATCGGGGCAGTTTTGTCACAGATAAGGGAGGGGAAGGAGTATGTAGTGGCATACTACAGTGCCAAGTTCAGCAGGCCTGAACGCAACTATTGTGTGACAAGGAAAGAGTTGCTGGCGGTGGTGAAGAGTCTCGAACACTTTCACCCGTACCTCTACGGTGCCGAGTTCACCATCCGGACCGACCATGCTGCCCTACAATGGTTGAAGTCGCTGAAGATAGCAGAGGGTCAGCTGGCAAGGTGGTTAGGGCGCCTTGAGCAGTACAACTACCACATCATCCACCGCCCGGGTCGTGTCCATTGCAACGCTGACAGCTTGAGTCGACGCCCGTGTGAGGCTAGTTGCTCACTCTGTGTCCAGAAGGACTCTGATCCTGTGTGGCTCCGTCTGCAGGTGCTGGAATGCGCCACTAAAGGGGACGATGAGTGGCGTAAGGCACAACATGAGGACCCTGACCTTGCTCCCATTGTCCAGTGGCTTGAGGCTCTCAGTGGACGCCCCAGTTGGGAGGCTGTGGCTGCGGAGAGCCCCACCACCAAGTGTCTAGTGGACCAGTGGGAAACATTACGAGTGGATCAAAACGGTTTGTTAGTGAAGCGCTGGGTACCGTTAAGTGAAGTGGACAGTGACACGTGGGTAGTTGTAGTACCCAGGTCCATGCGTGCTGAGTTGCTGAGGGAATTACATGCAGGTGTTACCAGTGGCCACTTGGGTGAGAAAAAGACCCTGAGCCGTCTCCGTCAACGCTTCTACTGGGTGGGCATGAGAAGTGACGTGTCTGAGTGGTGTAGAGCGTGTGATGTGTGCAGTGCAAAGAGGTGCCCCGCTAGAAAGAACCGTGCCCCGTTACAGGTGTACTGTGTGGGAGCACCCATGGAACGGGTGGCAGTGGACATTGCCGGTCCGCTGCCTCTCACGCCACAGGGGAATCGATACATCTGTGTGGTAATGGACTATTTCTCAAAGTGGCCTGAGGCATATGCACTGCCCAATCACGAGGCCGAGACCGTGGCTAGTGTGTTAGTGAATGAATTCATTACCCGTTTTGGTGTGCCTTCTGAACTGCACTCCGACCAAGGCTGTGAGTTTGAGTCGCGAGTGTTCCGTGAGTGTTGCGAGCTGTTAGGAGTGCGCAAGACACGGACGACACCCCTCCATCCACAGTCCGACGGTATGGTGGAGCGGTTTAACCGGACCCTTGCTCAACAGTTAGCCAAATATTGCAGGGAAAGTCAGGAAGACTGGGACGTCAAGCTGCCCGCCATACTCATGGCCTACCGGTCCGCTGTGCACGAGGTAACAGACTTCACACCTGCCCGACTCATGTTTGGCCGTGAGCTCAGGCTACCAGTGGATTTGACCACAGGGCAGCCA